TGCAGTTGTAACGCCCTTAACCACAAAGATATACAAAAGCTATGCAGCTTCTTTTAGGAGTAAGAGGTTGCACAGTTTGTTCCAATGCTTCTGCCGTTTTCCCTAGCTTTTTAAGGGCCTTTTTATTTTAAGAAACCGGGATTTTTTTTTTCTTTTTACTCTCTCATCTTTGTAAAGTGGTTTTAAATCAGTTTGCAAACTCCTTCGCCAGCGTTGGAGGGACTAGATTAACTCCAGGGCGCTATATGGTTACAATTGCAGGTGAAAAGCTGGGTAAGTTGTGGACTTGAAGGTGGAAAGAATGTAATGTAGAGAGTCGGGGAGAAGGAAATATAGCTGTCTACTGCTCAGGACTTAGTCATTTCTCCTTTATTTAAAAATAAAGAATCAACTCTAATTGTTTGTGAAGCCTTGTCTAGGCAAACGAGTTGACTGTGAACTTGGTCTAAAGCGAGCTCTGCTGGTGATTCCTAGGGTGTGCAGATTTATCTTTTCTGCATTTACTTAACCTGGCAGTGAACTGCAAGGGCTGCCATTTGTTATCCAGAGACAGACTTCACCTCAAGCAAGGACTGTTTCACAAAATTGCAATAATTACCCAATAACCTTCATAACAAATATTATTATTGAAAAGTCATTTTTTTGGATATGGGACAGATTCCTTATGCGCACTATAAAGCGAAAGCCTTGCAAATCTTACCCGTGCTCTGTGGCAGATGGTATGACTTGTATATGTGGCTACGTGTACATCTGAGTAAGACGGTCCAGGAGATTTTTGCCTTCCTCAGAGGCATTAGTGAGAGGGCTTTAATTGATAAGGAAGAATATTTTCAAATATAAACTACCTGCTGATGGAGTTACAGCTCTGTCCTATGAATAGTAACTCGAACAATGAATGAGTAGCTAAAGCCTAGGCGTGAAAGGAACAAGGGGGGAAGGGGGTTCTTCATTTGCTCAGGAGGTTTATTAATGAACTATTTCATGTATGTAATCGGTATGCTCTGGGAGGGGGAAATACATTGCTCCAATGCATATGGCTCCAGATCGAAACCTCATGATCTGCCCATATGAATCTACTCCCTTCAATTTCCCATGGAGCAAAGAGCAAACACTTGCCTTGTCACCCCTCTCCAGACACACACGTTTGCTAAATGGAAGGAATTGGGAGAATAATACCCCCCACCCCCCTCCAGGGTTGGTAATGAATATGTTTGCAGGGCACCCGACTTCCAGTTACGGGTAAACCTCCATCGAATTGTTGTATATCTAGTTCAGGGAAAGGTCTGACTGGTAAAAGTCGCTGGTTATATACACAAAAGGGATAGCTAACCTTTAATCGCCCTTACGTTTAGCCATGCCACGCTACACTAAAATATGTCTTTCAGAGGATTAAGCAAACTGCATTTGAGTGCGCAGAATGCCACTTGCGAGGGTCTGAGTAAAATAAACTCACGTGCACCAATTCGCAAAACACTGAACAAAATTAATGGGCACAGATAAGAGCTAAGTTTGGCTTTCAAGCGATCCCTCTGTCTGACCGACACTTACTCATTTTTAATCAGGACACAACTAAGACGTATGTAAGAGTGGCGAGTTTGGGAGTTGGACCTGTTCTAATTCAGCCGGAATTATAGCATCTGAACGTACTTTTGGTCTTAAAGGATTCGAGCTGTCTGGACTTTGACAGGGGGAGGCGAGCCTAGAAATGCTTAAGAAGTTGTAGTAATTTCCAGTCGAGACGACCGTGTCTTGTGGTTGCGTGCAATCTGTGCGTGATTCTCTCCCTGTGGATTTTGTGCAACTTTCTCTTGTTCACAAGTCTCAAACGTTTGCATACTCTGTGTTATGTAAAGTATGTTTGAGAAACTAAAATCCAAATATCTTACGTCAGTTGCAAATTATTTTACAGCAGGCTCTGAAAATTCACAATCTCAGCTGACAGAAAGGTCAGTTAAAATACAGGGCGAGTACATGTTTTTTCCTGACAATGGAATATCCCCTTATACAGTGGGACTAGAAATTAAGATAATGTAAACTATTTTGCTTCAGGTTTACTCTGTGCAATAGGCGAGATAGGTGATTTTTCGTCAGAAAGTAGCCGGTATGTTAGAAACCAAAACTTTTTTTAAGGGTATGTATAGGCTTTTTTTTGCCACACATACTACCTTAGTTTATGATACATAATTTAACGTATTACTATTAAATATACGTTTCCTGCTTTCTTGTTATTGAAGCATTGATACTGTGTGTACCATGTACCCTCCAGCTGTTTCTAAGCTTATTGTATCGTGTACTTTTGGAGATCGAGTGCGATAAAAATGCACTTTTCAAATCTACTTCTTAACCCTGTTATCAAAGAAGTACATGCGATTTTTTTCCTTAATGCAGTGTTCACAGAAAGGCATGAAAAGACAACATTTTCTAAAATGCTTAAACTTCCGCTGTGTATTACCTCAAAATATCAGAAGTTTGTAAAGCAAACAAGTCCTTTATATAAGTTAACAGCTTAAATATAAAATCGTGTTTTATCAATGCATACCCTTCATTATCTGGAAAAAAAATAAAACAAAGACACAATGAGTTTGCCACACCATTCTTGGACATTGGACAGGTACCACCTTTATGAAGTGGTAAACAATCCAATTATTGTCCTTGAATTTTAACGCCTTTCTACCATATTGACATTAGCTTGAGCTGCCACTTCTAGGGCAAATTGCAATGCTGAAAGGCACCTAGAAAAATCAAGCCAGAAGTCTAATGACCAACATATCAAGAAAAACATAATTGCACAGCAACATTTGAAAAACCGTGCCATACCCCATACTGTCCAAAACTTAGTTCCGAAGCAGATTAGATAGATAGATAGATAGATAGCTAGATAGATAGATAGATAGATAGATAGATAGATAATCAAAGTCTGCCTGTATTTCAGGACTGCAGGCCTAATCCAGAAAACCCATCCTCACCACCGGCATAGTCCTACAATGTTCAGTGTGACTATTGTCCTGAGCCAGGATCCTGGGAGTAAGGGTCTGCAGGATCAGGCCCGCATTCTACAGAGAAAAAAGACAAGAGTCCCTTTCACCTTTTCACTCAGCCCTAGAAATTCAAAGACTGAAGTTAAATCCGGCCATAAAGTTTATTGCTGAGTAATCACACTCTCGTGAGAACAGTCTACTTAAATAAAAAGAATGTTGAAGCAAACCTGCAGCTGGGCCTACCCGCAATCGCCAGCCAGCGAGAGAAAGAGAGAGAGAGAAAGAGAGAGAGAGAAATAGCCATGGGGCTATTTACAACCTTCGGGAAACTTAGTCTGTATTTCATAATTTGCAGCACTCTAATGACCTGGAATAGCTCGTAGGAGCATTATAAGTTACAATCAATTTTGTTCTCTCATAAAAACAGTGGAAATAAAAACAAAAAAAAAACCTGGAAAAAGGTACCACCACGAAACTCCTATTAAGCCTGTCTGCTGGCCACACCACACTACACATATGGATATATCCAGGGAGATAAAGCTTCTTATAGAACCTAGAACAGTAAAGAGGACTCAGAGCCACTAAAACACAGTCTATGCCATTTTTATGCCAGCTGTGGCATGCAAAATATTTGCCTAATCCAAAAATGCACCAGCCCTCTTCCAACATTAGCATGTCTCCAGAAGACACTGCTCAGATAACATCAAGCCATATATATGTTTCCTTTAAAAATCGCCTGCAGTAACTACTCCTTGCTAAACAAAACCTTTCCAAACTGGAAAGTCTATGGAGCAAAGGAAGTAATTATCTTCTGCGGTAGTCAGAGTAATTAAAGTTAGGCCTCAGAATCCATCTCTGCCAAAGACGTATTGTGGTTTTCTTGGATTTGATTGTTAAAATATAGAACTAGGGTTAGAATTAGAGAGGGGAAAGTTTTCAATGAAACCTGTATCATTAGTAGATTTTTCTACCCTTTCCAATTCAGTGTGACAGTCCTGAAAGGATGGAGCCGGAGAGAGAGTCGAGTTTCCAACTGTACAAATAAACTTTAAGGAACTTGTGCACAAACTTACCTTGCCTTGTAAGGAGCCATTTTTCATAGAGTACTGAGAACTTGTGGTTTGGATACTTCTGTATCTAAACCTGACAATTTGAATGACCAGGAGGCACACGTAGCCTGCAAAAGAGTCAAATGAAGTCCAGCGTCAGTGAGATTATATGTTATGTGGTATATAATGTTGGATGTCAACTCCCCAAAACCATAAAACTTACTTTAATGGCACCACGTGACTTTTTATAGCCAGTGAGCCTATCTGTCTGTGCTATGGATGATTTTACGATCTAATTCATACACAAAACCCTATTCATTTGGCACCCAAATGTCATATAGCCGGAACTGGGGCTTATAAAGTTTACTGTTTTATAACTTTTAAGGGAAGGCATCAATGTAACCAGTCAGTAAATGTGCAAATCTTTAGTTGCTCTTAGAAGCTCAGAAGAGTTAACCTTTCAAGCTGTGATGGGGTAAGTAACATTGCATTTCTAGAAAACTAATTGTAGCGAAAAAGCCAAAAATCTGGAAAGGGTGAAAAGTGGGAAGGTGGCTCTAGGATGTTGCTTATAGACGTCTCTGATATGGCTGTCCTGCAAATATACTTAATTAAACCACAGGAGTAATTCTATATGGCGAGGCAAACACTCCTTGGAGTTGGGAGTGGATTTTAACAAAGCACATGTTTTTCAACAATCAGCAAACAGCTAACAGTTGATTCACCCACCAAGGGTGTTGGTTGTGGGTCTGCAATGCAGCTTTCCACCTAACGAGAAACCATTAAGGAGGAACTTATGTTCAAAGTTGCAATTTAAAAGATTGGTATCGGACAATTGTACTTGTATCAGATGCAACGTGTAACATTAGGTCTTAGCCAGGTAAAATATTGCAAACTCTGCACTGATATTTTTCTTTTAGAAGCAAATTAGGAAGCACAACTCCTTGTTTTGCACAAATTAAATCACGAAAGCTTACAATAGAAAGTTTATTTTTTGTTGTTGTTTCCAGTCAGGGTAATTTTTTTTGTAAAAACAAATACAAAAAAATTGGAAAAAAAAAAGAAAAAAAGCTGATCACAGTTTGCTCAAACAGCCAGACTTTGACTATATTTGTAACTTTGTTCACAAAAAACATACATCACTGAAGCTGCGCTTAATAAGAGCCACTTCTAGGAGGTCGTGCAAAAAGTCATACAAAGGCACAGCAAGGACATACTGTTTGGAATCACAGTTTTCGTCACAGATTCACTATTCACTACACGTAGGACAAGTTCAGTTGTATTTCATCATTTCACCTCTACAACAGCATTAATTACACAGGAATTATATAGGTAGTTTGAATAAAAATATTTTTAACAGCTTGGAGCTATACAGACATTAACACTTGAACACACATGCACAGTTAAGCAAATTGAGTGCAACACATAACATTGGTACTAAACGAGGGGGTTTCTTTCTCTCGTGTTTGTTTTTTTTTTTTTACAGTTACTTCAAGTAACACAGCTCGCTTCATATAAATAAGTTAAAACATCTATATTTCCAAGACAAAGCCATTCAAGACAAAGAAATGTACGGAAAGCAGATCTACTTATACACGCGATATCATGGGAATGAACAGGCTCATGATTAAAAGATGACTTAGGGCGACAAGAACAGGGTTTCTTCACAGAAGTAACACAAGGAAGTTTTAGAAAGTCAACTTAGTACTGACATTCTACGCAGGGTCAGCTAATACTGCTCAGTACTTTTAATGGATCAAATTCTTAAGGGCGGAATGCCCCTCCTGCAGCTGCCATGCTCATGCTTTTCAGCTTATTATCCTTTTTCCATTTCATTCTCCTGTTTTGGAACCAGATCTTTATTTGTCTCTCTGAGAGGCAAAGAGCATGTGCTATTTCAATCCTTCTTCTGCGGGTCAGGTATCTATTGAAGTGAAATTCTTTTTCCAGCTCCAGGGTCTGATACCGGGTGTAAGCAGTCCGAGCCCTTTTTCCTTCGGGTCCCCCTATATTGTCTGCAACAGAAAAGTGAATGATTTAGACTCTCAGCAGCGACCAGCTCCTTTATTTCTAAAGCAGCCACGAGCATCCAAGGACCGTTATTCTCGGTCCTGGCTTTCTTTCGGGGAAATGCTCAACAAGTTCTTCCCCCCACCCCCCTCGCCCCCTTTTTTGTGTGTGTCTGTGTGTGTCTGTGGAGGTTTTTAGAGGAGCGAAGCGCCCGTCCCCCCACAGCTGAGCTGCTGGATGGGCTGACTGAGGCAGGCAAGCAAGCCGGGGCACTGGGCTCTTTCCCACGACTTCGCGGTGGAGGTTAGCTTTGTAACTCCCCAAACCAGCCCTGGCTCCGAAGGAGACCGCCAGGTAATCATTCCTCCAAGTTATAGGGCAGAGACACCCCGAGCCTTCCCATGCCCCCAGCCCTCGCCCTTCGCTCCTTTTTTTTTTTAATCCTCCCTGACTTCCTCCCAGGGAAAATTCCCATTCTCACTATTTGCTAAACTCTCGCTTGTCCTTGCCCAGAATTAGTAACGCTGGTTTCACGGGGTACTTCTCCCCATAAATTACTGCACGGTGACAACCACTATTCACAATTCCCCCCCATTTAAAATGCACCCCTGCCCCTCCAGTTGGGGAGACTTGGTGGAGTTGGAGCAGGCTGGCGAACGTGCCCGATTGCTCCCTGCCTGGGAAAGGACATTTTCTCAGTGCAATCCCAGGGATTGGGTTTGTTTTTCGTCCCCTTTCCCCCACCCCCCAGCTCCAGCTCCAGCTCCACGCACCCCCACCGCCCAGCCGCTCCCACGCTCCCGCCGGCTCACGCAAATCCTCCTTTAAAGAATAAAACAGGGTAGCGCTTTACCATGACTTATGTGCAGTTTTCGCATCCAGGGGTAGATCTGGGGCTGGGAAGGCTGAGCTGTGCTTTGGTCGGTCTGGGCACTTGCCTGCTCGCTGCTTGCTGGGGTGTCGTCCTCAGTCCCAGACGACGTGCCAACCCCCTCTCTGCTTATGTGAGTGCTGCTGCTGGAAGTGGACGAAGTGCTGCTAGAGTTAGCTATGGAGTTTTTCACCCCGTGATGACTCTCGCTGACAGGCGAAGTAGCCACGGCGGTGCAGGGCAGAGGGTCAGGTGGAGGCGAATGAGAAGACGTTGCAGGTTGGTTATACCTGGGCTCTGTCGAGGCAGAGGTGGAATTGGACGGGTAATTGCGAGATCTCTCATTGGCACCAAAGTGGCTGGAAGCTGAGCGCCCAACGCTGAGATCCATGCCATTGTAGCCGTACCCGTACCTGCTGGAATGCATGCTGGCGGAATCCCGGTATTGCTCACTCACGGAACTATGATCTCCATAATTATGTAACTGGTAGTCCGGGCCATTTGGATAGCGACCGCAAAATGAGTTTACAAAATAAGAGCTCATTTGTTTTTTGATATGTGTGCTTGATTTGTGGCTCTTGGTCGTTTTGTGCGTCTATAGCACCCTTGCACAATTTATGATGAATTATGGAAATGACTGGGACATGTACTTGGTTCCCTCCTACGTAGGCACCCAAATATGGGGTACGGCTTCAAATCACGTGCTTTTGTTGTCCAGTCGTAAATCCTGCCTGATGACCTCTAGAGGTAAACTCGTGCACTAATGGGGGAGCTGGGTGGATGCTGGAGGCTTGGCGGGCTCTCGCCGCCAGCGCCTGGCTGTCAGTCGGACTCGTGCGCCACCCTCTGGAGACAAGTCAGATCTTCCCGCTTCCAGCCAGGGGCTGCGGGGCTGGGGTCGACTCGAGGTTACAGCCCATTACGGCAAAATGATGGCATTTCTCGCACAGTTCCATTAGTACGTCCCAATTGCACGGGGCTCTCGCAAGCCCGGCGGTCGTGCAGCAGGTCGGGGACAAGCTTTGCTCTGCGTGTGCAGTGGCTCCCTTTCATTCCCTGCTTGCCTTCCCTCGCTCTTATTCCTCTCCTTATTATTCTCCCTGTTCTGCTATAGCTCTCTCTCTCCCTCTCTCTTTCTTTTCTTTTTTTTTTTTACCTGCAAAAAGGACCTGGCTTTTCTGTAGGGTGACTGATTTAAACCAAGTGCAAAACAAACAGACCAAAATAAATAAATTAAATAAAATCAAATAAATCAACCCCTAGGATAAATCCTTGCATGCAAACAGCAATTACAACCCTGGGTGTTTGACTTCATTGTATGGATGTATGGATGGATGGATGTAGTTATTTATTTATTTTTGCAAGCGCTTCACAAAATAACAAAATTAAAAGCTGTCGTGCCGATCTGAAATGGCAGGTACTTAATAAGGATAAATAGTGTGTGATGTGTGTGTGTACATATACATACATACATACATACATATATATGTGTATATGTATACACACACACACACATATATGTATGTATTTTTCCTCTTCACAGCTGGGGTCAAAATCCATCCAGCTTTATGCTCGGCATCACTTTTTGCCCTTTTTCAGACAAATGCAAACGTCGTGGTAGCCATTTTACATCACAGTTTTCGCGATTTGGCTCTTCAACTATTCGGAGCGGTAGCCTAACATGCCTCGCCTTTGCAAACAAAAGGGGCTTTGACGCATCCACTTGTATATTTGGCCACCTTCTCCCACTACATCCGTATAGCGCAGGGAGCATTTCCCCCGCACGGATCGTCTTCAGTGCAAGACAGCCCTCAGAGGAATCATTTCCCAGCAATGAGTTTCTATGCCTGGTGTAGTCCTTTTTCAGGGTGAGGGATCGGAAAGCTGGACATCACAGAAGGGGCGAAACGCCCCCCGATTTAACAGGACAGACCCTTTAATTTTAATGCTTTTCAAAATAAATGACTAGGCATGGATCCCATCATTGCAATTCCCCTCCGTGGTGGCTGAAAGCTGCCTTCACCCTTTGCCCAACTGGCCCACAGAAATTTCCCCGCGTGGAAGGCTCTTCTGTCCCCGGGACCAAAGTTTAAGGTGGAGTTTTTACTTTAATACTAGTGCGGGTTGGAGGCAGGTTCCCGGCATTTTAACATCCGCCGGCGGCTCGTCCTCGTTTTGAAGGGCAGAGAATGGCCAGGTTTAGTACATCGATTAGTTTTAACCCCCCGAAGTCTTTGTCCTCTTTGCGCTAGTGAATTATTTTCTACACGGGGAAGATTTCGGTTTGTAGAGACCATCAACTCCCAAGCCCTGCAGAACAAGCCGGCCCGACCTAGCGGGGGTTAGGACAGAAAAACAGGGTCTTCTAATATCTCGGCTCCTTCTACAACTCGATCGCTTCCCGTGACAAACACCTTCCCCCTTATCTGTTGCCTACAGCCGGACAGTCAGATCAGAGACAGTTGCTCAGAGATGCTCACCTTCCAATATTTAAAAACCTGGGGCATTTCTGGACTACCCTAAAGCAACGCCACTTATGCTTTGTAGACGTGACTATATACACTACCTAGCTCTAAATCAAGCACTTCTATTTTTTTTAAAGAAATTCACAGTTGATTGCAAATGTATATATTTTAATCAAGCCTTTGGGAATCAACAGACTGTGAAAACCTATAGGATTTTTAGTAGCAGAAGGATCACAAGGGGAAATAAAACGCTAACAAGGAAAGGCCTGGAAACTTTTATTAAATATTATTCTACTCCCCTGACTTTTCCTCTGTTTCTTCGCTGCTGGGCTGTGTGGAATTTATGAGTTTGTTTTCCTTTTTCCATTTCATTCGCCTGTTTTGAAACCATATTTTAATCTGTCGTTCAGTAAGGCAGAGGGCGTTTGCAATCTCAATGCGTCGTCTTCTGGTTAAGTATCTGTTAAAATGAAATTCCTTTTCTAACTCTAGCGTTTGGTATCTGGTGTATGTTTGCCTCCCCCGTCTCCCATGTGTTCCATATACTGTACCTGCAGAAGTAAAGACAAAATGATCGCATTGGACAGGGCCCAGTGATTTCAGTTCAGAAATAGTGGTTAGTATATCCTGCCTCCTCTTGCAGATACGGCCCCAGAAGGGGTGGCTACCCTGGCTTTCAAAAGTTTCCCTGATTAAACCTTTCTAAGTGGAGAAGAACATCATTATCAGGTTCAGTGGCACAATTCTGATATACAGAGGCGGTGACTATACCGATTTAAAGTGAAATTTCCACAACTTTACACGTATGTATATGTTCGTATACACACACGTATACAGTTCAACGATCTATGTGGGTGTGTGTGCATAGGCGTGGAGAGGCAGGCATACGTGTGCGTGTGTATAAGCATACAAACATCCACACACATACGAATGTGCGCGATTCATATACATATAAACCGCCCGCAAGGATGTGTGCACGTAGGTTTGTGTGTGCATGGGAGCGTGCATACATAGCTATTACAGTTAGAATAGCAGTGGAACAACTGCCATTTAAGCATAACCGTAAACCTCAGCTGAATCTCATAGAATAGCCCCTACCCCTTGCTTCTCTATAAATTGCCATCAGATGCCAAAGGATCCTCCAAAATAGGAACTACCTTGGAAAGTGAAACTTTTACAAATAAGTCCAAGATGTAATTATCTCTCTGTTCAAAAACCTGGGCGAAGGGAGAGGCTTTTTGATCAAAGCCGGAGTGAACAAGTTTATGTGCTTATTAAAAACAAGTAACATCCCCCACCCCCACCCCAGACCAGAGAGTCCTGGCAGGTAAAGTCCACTTTAAAGGAGACACAATTCGAGGCGATTTGCAAGTGTGCACACGTTACCAGAAAACGTGCTTTCAATGACCAATACTCATATACTAATGAGTGGGGCTGATGGGTGCGTTGGGGGAGGGGGGTCTGTCTCACAAATACATTGACTATTCAATACAGGGGGCATCTTCCTTGCATCACTCTTGGACACTGGAGGAGCGAAGAAGAGAGGTCTCTGTGGAGGGATCTTAAAAAATAATCAGTCCCTAACGGCACCGTGTCCACAGAGCTAGTCTTTCACCATCACTCAGCAACTTCTCCAAGGAACCCAGGCTGCTCCTAACTGCTTGAGGGTGGCCATGGTGCCAGGTTGAAAGCAACCTGGGGAGGTCTCAGGTTACAGCTTGCTGGTCGCAGCCATTCCTCTGCACGCTCTGGATGCGCTTTTTATAAAAGTCTTACTCAAAAAAAACTTCACCCCCCCACTCCTCCTTTGCCCCCCTTGATGGCATTCAAATGACTTACCAGCGCAGGAGTTCATCCGCTGCATCCAGGGATAAACAGGGCTCGAGTACTTCCGGTCGCTGCCTTCGTCATGTAGAATTTTGCTTTGCACGCTGTCGGATTTGTATTGTTGCTCGGGAGAGAAGTGCAGATAGTCCCCGTGGCCCCTCTGCTTGCCACTGCCGGAGGGAGAGGCGCTACTTAGGTCCTTGTCTGAATAGAAACAAGAGGCTCCATACTCATAGGATGCCCGATTGCAAGCAATGACCGTATTGGACTGCTGGTAGAAACAAGGTGAGGTGTAAGCCTTGTCCTGGAGGTTTGCTGCCCCATAAGAAGCTGGGAAATGCCTCAGAGCATCATAGCCAGCTGGGTAGAGGGGGATCTGCCCGAGGAAAGACTCCTGCCCATTAGGCAAGCTCCCAGGGAAAGTGGGATTCACAAAATAGGAACTCATTTGCTCTCCCCTCTCCAGGACTGTGATTTGTTGTGTATTAGTACATCTGGCTATAACTATTAGTAGTCATCGAACTGGTTTGTTTCTGGATGGCCGAGCGCCAAAAGCGACAGCAGCAAATAGCACCAGCTGACGGCCGGGCGGCCAATGGGAGCGCGCC